CACACACACACACACACACACACACACACACACACACACACACACACAGCATATGCTGTTATGCACAGTATTGGGCTTTTGGTAAAGCTTCAAAAACTAATTCTATCATCACAGAATTATTTATTTATATTTAAAATCCAGTATTGCCTTGCCATGGTTTTGAATTGCTTGGGGGCCCATTAACAATGAGACTGTCTTCCATGTCATTTATGGTCATTCTGCAATTTCCAGAATCCCTAGTTGGTTGGCCTTCAGAAATCTCCATTCTGGTTGCAAGTCCCAACACATTTTGAAGAATGCAAAGTTGGGGAAAGGATGATATAACTAAGTGGTATCTGGAGAAATCTACTCAGTCTTTTGTCCTGGTGGAAGAAATCATTTCCTGAGTGCATATCCACCTGCCTCCAACTGTATCTCACTGTCATCCCACAGCTGAGGACAGTTTAAGGTTCTAGGCTCTGAAGATGGTGTGTTCCCTAAAATCCCATGTTAAAATGCTATACTTTGTGCAGGCAATATATACAGAAACATAGGCATGAGGGAAACTGCCTCAAGTGATGTGCTTCATGTGACAATCTTTTGGTTTCAACTGATCTGCTGATTTCCTGTGAGATTACCCACATCAGTCTGGTCCCTGATCTCTTGACCTACCCTTCTGTCCTCTTGGCAGCAAGGGAGATTAAACATTAGCTTCTGTGACCATTATATATATACTGTACATAACAGTATTTAAATGTATTGGCCAACTGGTAGAAAGTAGGAAACATGCAAAATAGAAAGCCTTGAAACTAACCATCCTGTGCCTGCCTTAATGTATATAATTTGGGATGTAATTGAAAGGAATCAGTTCTTATACTTTTGTAGTCTGCTTGGCAAAGAATTCCTTTGGAATTCCTCTGCTCACATTATGCTTTAAGAGTAATAGTTGCCACACTAGCCTCAATGGCTAAACCTTTTTTTCCTAAGGAGTATGTATCTACTGGCTGTATGCTGGCAACCACTGGATGCCAACCATGAGATGAAAAATCCCCAACTCTTTGCTCCCAATTAGTGGTCAACAAGGAGTGATGTAGTGGTCAAGGCACTCAACTAGAAACTGGAAGATTATGATTTCTAGCTCTGCCTGTGCCTTCTCAGAGACTTCTCCAGGCAGTTGCCAGGAGTCAGTATTGATTCAACCAACCCACATCAAACAAACAAATAAGTAAATAGTTGAGGCATTTATGTGTGGTGGTTAACTTATCAGACTAGAAACAGGGAGACTGTGAGCTCTAGTCCTGCCTTTGGCACAAAGCCAGTTGGATGACTTTGGAGTCATTACTTTCTCTCAACTTAGGAAAATGGCAAACTACTTCTGAAATCTTGCCAACAAAAGTGTAGAGACCTGTCCAGGCAGTTACTAAGAGTCATGACCGACTCAAAGGTGAGAATGAATGAATGAATGAATGGTAGAGGAAGTGGTCAAGAGATTGAAGAGTCAAATGGCTGGCCTATGATTTCAAAGAATTAGAGATAAGCATTTCATGTGCTGAATAACATTAGGTAGAACTGGAATTTTGACCAAGAGTTTGAATCACGGCCCTTAGAAGATTGTACACTAAAACTTTATGGACAACAACACAGCCCCTTTCCTCATAAGGGCAGATTGCAGATAGATTTAGGACAACATGATATCCTGCTGGGTTCAAGATTCGAGGGTGGGGCGAGTATGGCAAAACCACTGAATGTAGCCTATGAATCTTTCCTAGTCCAACCCAGAGGTGCCAGGGATTAAAACAGGGCTCTTTTATAGGCAGAGTGTTTAATCACTTAGTGCTTAATCACTAAACCAATTCATTCCCCAAAACATAATTTGGCCTTACTGCTTTTTCAAAGTGATTTCTACCAGCAAGAAAAGTTGTCTGCATATGCTAAAGCCTATTTTGCTTTTTAGTCTGTGTTTTAAAAATATGCCTGCTTTTGCTGTTCTGCATGTGCTCAAGGATAGAGTGTTCAAGTATTTTGTGGAATGAAATGTTGATAGTTCTGTATGCCACTGTAAATCAAACCCAGTCAGAATCAACAGATTTAGAGTTGTCCTTTATTCGCAGAGTGCAATCACTGTTTGTACTGTGAACCCTTTGCATCTTGTGATTCTCTTTGCGGAGAAAAGAGCTTTGCAAAGCCTATCTTTCAGGATGACTGGAATGAGGAAGGACTGCTTAATGATATACGTAACCCAGCATGTGATTGCTAACTTGCTACAACAATTACCTTCCTTTATAAAGATAGATGGGGATTGCTCCTGAAGAGGAAGATCATAATAACAGAGCTCAACATTCTTGTGTTGTTTATATATATACTGATTACAGTTTTATTGGTAGTTACTTAGGATATGGGAGCAAAAGACATCACGAGGTTACCATAATTATAGATGTCTATCTGCTCTTTAATATACTTGGACTTCTTACAGTAAAAAGAATGTTTGAGAATGCATCTATTCCCACCCACCCACATTATGTCATCTTATTTTTAGTACCATCTAAATAAGAAATTTCCCCTTGATGGAAAAGAGGACTGGTCAGCTTTTCATACTTCAGGAATTTAATTAGGCTGTGTTAACAATGTTGATAAAACCTGGATATGAGAGGAACAAAAGTGAATGGCCTTCTTAATGTTATGCCAATTTGCAAAAATAAGGGTGAAGAACATAAACAAATACATTCGTTCCTGATTCTTTCATGAGGATCAAATAAGGAACAAATGCGAATGCTTTCTCCTGTTGAGAAATCAGTTGTATTCTGTCACTTGGTGTGGCCCTCAAAAAAATAATAATTATATTGCACTAAATTCTTCAAAAAAAAAATGGAGTCATTTTGGAATTAATCATCAGTTAATATTCTTCTTTGCTGAGAATACTTCGTAATGTATGCCTGAATCAGAAAACCTACTTTCTGTAACCATACATTAATAATAAGCAGAATGGAACAAAGATGAAACAGATGAAACAACATTTTCTTACACTGCACATTTCATTACACTGCATAGACTATCTACAGCTGTAAGTGTACTACATGAATGTTTGTTTAAGTACCATTTCTATTGTTCATTCACTGCTGCTGGTACAACTGAGTTAATCAGTAAAACCAGGGTCTGTGTCTCTGTCTCTAAGCCAAGAGATGGTAAATTTCCTCCCTAACCAGCAAGCTCACTTGGAGAAATCAAAGAGGAGAGGAAAAGGGAAGGCAGTGAATTGCTCCTTTGCAGGTAAGGCAATTCCGGCAGACGCTAGAAACAACTCACATGGGTGCTGAATAGTCAGATAGTTTTGGGAGGGGCCCAAACCATTTTATCTCTCTCTCTCTCTCTCTCTCTCTCTCTCTCTCTCTCTCTCTCACACACACACACACACACACACACACACACACCTGTCTGATATGCTGCAGCAAATCAACAAGTGGAACAGTGGCAGGAAGGAATGCTGATGTTTTTGAGGCTGAAGGATTCAGATGACAGGGTTGCTTTTACGCTTGGCATTAGCAGAGAAGACAGAGTATAAAACACTTAGTCATTGGGTGAAATGAGGCTTGGATGGAATTTAAGTCCTAAAATGTGTTTTAGGGTTATAAATAATATTAGCTTTCTGTATTTGCTATTGTTAAGTTACTAGTTTATGACTCTTGAACTCTTACAAGAAGCCTCAGTTTTCAGGAAGATATTTTGGGTACTGCGAAAGGAAGACATTTTTTTAAAAAAATATAATTGACTGGAAGCAGAAGGATCACCCTGTTGGCTGAGTCCCAACATTAATTTATCATAAATGGTTTTGAAGGCAGACCATAGTATGACTTTGAACAACAGGTCACCATAACATCTAGTGTTTTGTTCCCCTTTTTTCCGCAAAGAAAGCAGAATGTGCGTCCCCTTCTTGTAGCTTGCCAATATTATTCATTTAAGTTGGGGAAATGTACTATGTCAAACTATTCATTTCCCACATTATATAAGGAGTGAAATGGAATTGGACAATTTGATAATACCCCTTTGTTCAGTTCCATGTCTACTTGTAGGATTCCATCAAGCCCCATATAATAAACAGGCATTTGTGAACTAGATTCCAAATTCTACACTGCACTGTTGCTGCCTGTTTAGTTCCTCATTTTCTTCTCATATTTCTCAGCAGGTTGCATGCTGAGAATGCCTGTGGTTTAATTCTTTGAACTATGGCCTGGAGTGTTTGGCGAGAGATTGTGATGTATGGAATAGTGAGGCAGAGTTGACCGCATACACATTCAATGGCCTAATGAGGTCTGATTTTTGGAGATAGCCTAAACTGTTTTGCAACCATTTTTGTCTTCTTGTCTTTGTTCCACCTGCACAGCTGAGTAGACACTTGTTACCCTGTGTTAATTTGTAGTTTAATAATTCCTTTGGATTAGAAACCTGCCTTTCCATTCCACTCATTCTGCTCTTTGTTTGCAAAATAACTGCAGATTTGCTCAACAGTGATCGGTGCAGGGAAGAGAGCCAAAGCTTACTGTAAATGATACACAAACTCTTCCCAACATAAAGGTCAGCTAGCAACTCCCACTTCTTCTCCTCTTCCTTCTGTTACTCAACATTTCTTCTGCCCATTTAAATATAAGAAGAGAATGAATGTGAGAATGGTGGTCAGGAGGAGTGAATGACTCATGTAAATGTAAACACAGCTTACTGTATTAAGAGAGTTGGTTGAAAGAGTTTTGGATAATAATGAGAGAACAAAATAAATTCAAAAGAGTAGGTTGAATTTGAGGACCCTGCTCCCATGTCTCCCATATTCAGGTTTGAGAAGAGTGACATCTAGCCTGTGCAGTGTGCCTTTCCATGAAATAGGTATTTGTGTTTAGACACACCCAATAGGACAGCCATCCTTTTTCTGAGGATCCCCATGACACTTTATCACATTCTAAAAGTGTTGATAAACTCCAAATCATGATGTGTACACATGTCTCAAATAATTAAACAATGTAGAATAAAGGAGCACTTAGAAAAAGTGGTGACGTAATCAATTTTAAAGAATGGGACATTCATACATGTGGGATAAGACTAATAAAAGCGATTAGTCATTCTGTCTATATATTACCTTCAGTACTACAGATAGTCCTCAATTCTCATCCACGCTGCCTCAAGAGTCCAGGAATAGGTTAAGCTCCTCCTTCTGGCATCATAGAGCTGAGTGTGCCACTATAAAAAACCAGCCTCTGGCTGGCCCACCCATCTTTTGGCTCAGCTTCTTGTCTGAGAGCATAGTCTCTGGAAGAAGTGCTTTTAAACAGCTAAAGGAAAAGTTTGAACTCAAAGAGACAGCAATAAATTTAAAATCCAACTCCCGGGGATCCGGTAGAGCTCTGTCTCCAGGAGAGGAGGGATCCACTCTCCTGCAGCGCCGAGGCTTTGGCCCTGCTACACAAGCACTGCGGACGCAGGGAACATTTGGAGGAACCTCCCACGCAGCCCCACTTATCGCAACCTTGTTGATGCTGCCGCCGGCCAAGCCGCTTTACAGCTGACTCTGGAACTTAGTTCCTGCCGCTTCCCAGCTGTTCCAGCTTAATTCGATCACTCGGGGCCTGATAAGAGCCCAAGGAGAAGACGGTGGCTAGGCCATACCAGGGCCACCCCACATGGTGGGCAGCCATTTTAGAATTGCTGAGTGGCCATTTTGTTTTGGGGGAAAGTGCTTCCCCAAGGCCTCACAGTCTCCTGACTCGCCTGGCCTAGGCAACGGGCAGCACCTATGTTGGGGAAGCTCACAGCACCCTTGGTGTCTGCTCTGTTAGCCAGATGAAGAGGGAAGCCCCCCCAACCTGGCCCCAAAGGACTGGAAGACTCAAAAGACTCCCAAGCCCCTTTGAGGAGAAAGAAAAGACAAAGAGGCCTTTCTGCTAACAGAAAGAGAGGCTGCTGCAAAAATCAGAGCCAAAGCCCTAGCCCCCAGAAAGACTTCAAAATTGGAGCTTCGGGCTGAGAAGAGAAGGCATGCGGTACTTGAGGAACAATTTGCAAAAGGCTCAGATTTAGGCCCAGATTCAACATGCTTCTCACTCTGGGGAGGTGCACGTTAGCCTTGAAGTTTCTTCCAAGGGGGGTGAATCTGCTCACAGTCCCTGTTAGCGTGGTCCCTAGAGAGAGTGGAGGAAGAACAGTTTCCCCAGGACCTAAGCAGATCAGGGCCTTCCTCTAGACAGGCTACCTGCCCTTCCTTCCTCAGTGATCAGGGGGCTCAAGGGGGTCATAGGCCTAGGCCTGAAGAAACCTACATCCCCACAGCTGCAGGCCTACATCCTGAGGAGAATAGGCCCAAGGACCTTAGGGAAATGGTCTCTGCAGCCATAAGGCAGGGCCTAGCAGAAGGATTTAAACAATTCCTTCACCCATAAGGGGAAGGTATGTCCTTGTTACATCAGGATTTTCCTCAAGGGGTCCCCCACTCTCACAAGGGTGTTCCCAGACAGCAGTTCTGTTTCCAGTCCTTCCATTCAGAGTGGGGGGAGGAAGAAGAGGAAGACTATTCCAAGGCCTCTGACCATAGTTGCTCTACTCATTCTGAGAAAGAGGAAGGAGAACTCATAGACCCCAATATGTCTGCGGAAGGGGACTTTAGAGTTGATCAGCCTCCCTCAGCAGGGGTTTTCAGGTCTTTCTTATTCAAGCCTCTGTTACACAAGGCTTCGGTTACTGCACAGCTAAGCCCTGAGGAGGTGGCCCCAGAAACACAAGCTACCATATCTGGCCACACTGATTCGTTATTCTCCAAGCCAGTGGTGCATACGGAGGTCCTCCCCTCCCCACTGAATTTCCTTGATCTAGTGAAGGAACAGTGCACCTCTCCAGGGGTGGGGCCTCACCCATCTGCTCACCACAGATGATTCTATAACATGGGCCCATCCCTGGCCAATGCCCTACTGGTACCTTTGGTGGATGCTCCCGTGGTGGCATTGTTTCTTTCTCAGGCATCCCCACCAAACCAGAGGATATGCTCAAGGCAGAGGACAAACGGTCTGAGCAAACCCTCAAGCGCACTCACCAGGCAGCAGCTTGGGTGATTAGAGCATCAATGGCAGCCTTGTTTTTTACAAGATCTTCACTGACCTAGCTTCACCACCTTCAGGAGGGGCTCCTGGTCACCGAATTCAGAGCACACCAAAATCTCAATAAGACAATTGTGGCGGTGGAGTTTATGGCAGATGCCACTCTGTGCTCGGCCAAGTCTGCTTCCAGGGCCATAGCTTCTTCAGTGGTGGCCAGGCAGATATTTTGGCTACGCAACTGACAATCCGACTCCCACTGTAAATGGAAGTTGGCATTGGCTCCATATATAAACAATAAGCTACTTGGCGATATCCTTGTTACCATACTTGACAGAGACCAAGGACAAGAAGAAGGTCCTCTCTTTGGCAGGGAAAAGGTCCGAGTATTGCCCCTTGTCTTTCAGACCCCAAACCAGCTCTCGGTTCTAGAGGTCAGAGGTCCTTTCCTGCATCCTGAAGCTTCTGGCAGGCAGCGACAGTCCCCCAGTAAATGGCCCTTTCGAGGGGGAGGAGGTCGTTAATTATGATTCTCGAAATGAGTGCCCCATCTCCCCCCCATCAGAGGACATTTGGCTTTCTTCACCTCCAGATGGGAGGAGTCTACATCAGACTCATGGGTTCTTGAGACGGTGAGGTTGGGCCTCCAACTGGAGTTTCTCTCCCCACCTCCATGATGGTTTGTTCCTTACTCCAGGGACTGCTCTAAGTGGGCCCTTACAGAATCGGCAATCCAACATCTCGTTGACATACGAGTTGTTCAACTGGTTTCTGAGGATCAATGAGAGCAAGCCTTCTATTCTTGCCTCTTCGCAATCACAAAAGCCTCTGGGGGTTGGCGAGCCATCTTGGACCTTAAATTCTTAAACAAATTTATACCATACAGGCGTTTTAAGATGCAGACTTGCATTCTATCCTTGAGAGTATTTGAGAGGGCGACCTCCTCTCCTCCATAGACCTCACAGAGGCTTATCTCCACATTCCTATTTGGTCTCATCATTGCCAGTTTCTCCATTTTTGTTATCAGAATGACCATTTCCATTATCAGGCTTTACCCTTCAGTTTCTCATCAGCCCCAAGGGTCTTCGCGAAAGTCTTGGCAGCTTTGGCAGCTTTACTTTGCACCATACGGGTGAGGGTACAGTGCTACCCGGACAACATATACATCCATTCACAGTTGACCCACTTGGAGCTCCCAGGCATGGAGACAGGCCCATGGGACAATCCCAATGCAGGAGATCATCTTTCCCAGGATCTGGGACAGTAGAGACAATGGGACAGTGTTCTGACGCCAAATCTGACTGATGCCACTCAGTCCGGGGAGAGGAACATCTCACAAAGTGATGTATTTTATAATTGCCCCAAGGTGAAGCAACCTGAACGGTGACTTTTCCTTAGGTTGATCAAAGGTGACTTTTCCTTAGGTTGATCAAGAACACGTGGTCTCTTAGGCTCTGCAATGTGATGTGAAGGTCGCGATGGAGTGCCTGGGCTCCGTGTGTACTCTATGCCTTTCCTCCTCTTCCCATTATTCTAGCTGTAATTTGGAAGTTGTTGGAGGAAAAGGTGGAGCTAATTTTCCTGGTGCCCCAGTGGCCCAGGAGACCCTGGTTTGCAGATCTAGTGAACCTGTCTGTGGCCCAGCTATGGAAGATCCCAGCATCCAAGATCTCCCTGCATCAGGGAGTATTACTTCACCCGAACCACCCCAGTGGTTCAGCTTAACCATTTGGCACTTGAGCAGCAATTTATGAGGGCTTCCAACTTTCCTGAAAGGGTAATCGACACACACCATTCAAGCTTCCTGAAAGCTGTCTACTTTGCGCATTTATGATGTGACTTGGAGGGTATTCCACTCCTGGTGCATTCCTTTGGCAAGAGATCCCTCTTCTCCTTCTGTGCAGAGGTGCTAATGTTCCTACAAGATGGCTTAGAAAAGGGACTGGCCCGTAACACGCTTTGCCACCAGGTAACGGCTCTCTCCCCTCTTCTACCCTGGGAGGCATATGCTTCTTCGTCCCATCACCCTTCAGTGCGTAGGTTCCTAAGGGGGGCATCTAACCTTTGACCCCCTGTTGTACATAGATTTCACACTTGGGATTTACCTAAAGTGTTACAAGCTCTAATGAGGCCCCCTTTTGAGCCCCTCAGATCTGTATCTCTACAAATGCTATCCCTCCAGGTAGCATTTTTAATGGCCATTACCTCTGCCAGGAGAGTGTCTGAATTAGCAGCACTGGTATGATCGGACCTGTGTCTTTTCCATCCAAACAGGGTAGTTCTTAGGTTAGACCCCATGTTTGTCCCTAAGATAAACATGTGGTTTCATCGGGTGCAAGATGTTGTGTTGCCAGACTTTTGCCCCAGATCACAACACAAATTGGAACACAGGTGGCATACGCTGGATGTGAGGTGGGCCCTTCAGATTTACATCAAACGGACAGCGGCCTTTCGAAAATCTGAAGCCACGTTTGTGTCATTCCATCCCTCTACACTGGGGAACAAGGTGACTGCATTGACAATTGGTAGGTGGATTAGAGCTTGTATATCCAAGGTGCACCAAACTTTGTCCATGCCAGTCCCCAGACATGTCACGGCCCACTCCACTAGGAGTGCGGCTACTTCGGCTGCCTGGTCTACTCAAGCATTGCTGGAGGAGATCTGCAGAACGGCTACCCAGGCTTTGCCATCGTTTATGCGGCATTATCGCCTGGATTCATTTGCTTCAGCCCAGGCATCATTTGGTCGGAGGGTGCTTCAACAGGTGGTTCCTCAGTCAGAGTGACTGAACCAGATGTTGGCCCTCCCATGGACATGCAGGCTTTGGTATGTCCCATTCCTGGACTCTTGAAGCAGCATGGATGAGAATGAACATTGGTATAATTACCTGAGAATGCCCTTTCTATCTACGCTGCAAGAGAGTCCAGCCCCACCCTAAACATCTGGTTATGACGGTTGGGGAGAGGTGAATTTAATTTCTTGTTTATCTTCCAGAGACACATTACGTCTGTCAAGTATCCTCACTTAAAAGATGGGTGGGCCAGCCAGAGGCTGGCTTTTTATAGTGGCAGACTCAGCTCTATGATGTCAGAAGGAGAAGCTTAACCCATTCCTGGACTCTCTTGCAGCGTAGATAGAAAGGGCATTCTCAAGTAATTATACCAACGACCATTTATGACTATCCCTAGCTTAGCTTAGCTATGGATAGGAGCCATGATGGCATAGTGGTTAGAATGTATTATTGCAAGCTGCCCATAGTCTAGAGTTTGATTCTCATTGGCTCAAGGTTGACTCAGCCTTCCATCCTTCCGAGGTCAGTAAAATGAGGACACAGATTGTTGGGGGCTGACTCTGTAAACTGCTTAGAGAGGACTACGAAGTGGTATATAAGTACTATTGCTATTGCTATGGATGCACTTACCAACAGCCACTTAATGAACCAATTTTGAAGTTACAATAGCCACCCATGCCTCACAGTCATGTCACTGCATTTTGGGTCTTTGGCAACTGGTTCACATCTGCAGTGTTCCCTGGTGACATGAACTGCAATTTGTGATATTTTTTGCTGCTTTTCAGCTACTATTTCCAGTTAGGGTAAAATTCATTCACTTAATGATGGCATCATTCATTTAGTGACCACCACGTTCACTTAATGACTATAGCATTTGCTTAATGACTTTCACAAAAATGTCATAAAATAGAGTCCAGTCTGCTTAATAACGACAATGACTTACAACTGTAATGTCAAACTCACTTATGGTCTCAAGTCAATGATTACTTGTAATGAGCATATTGGTTGGTGAGGAATAATGTAGGAGCTTGTCAACTTTCCAAAGAAATCTAGTTTACCACCATGGAAGACCACAGGAATAAATTGGTCTAATCAGCAGGGGTCATGTAGGTATAATTTCTACCTTAAGAACAAGGATAGCTAGTGAATGCTTATATATAGTGCATGGACACATATAACTTAAGCAGCTATATGTTTAGTAAATGGCTTATAGCCATTCTACTTAGTAATGAAGCAAAAAAGGAGAGGCCTGAACTCCTGTACTGCTAAAAACTCTGCTTTTGGCATCTATCCCACCAATTTCTTTATCCTCCTTTGGGCAGGGAAAAGGGCCTGAATTCTGACAATACTGAAAGCCTCTTCTTGAGCGTTTGACTTCATTTGCTGCACCAGAGAGACAAATATCTATCCAAAAGCCACTCGCTGTCTCAGGGCCAAAAAAGCAGAGGTGAAATCAAGGGCAGGTGTTCTTGGCAGAAGTACAAGATCATCTATCCTGGAGGGCCAAGGGATGAAAATGAGAAAACATTGGAGAAGGTGAGTGTTTTGGGACCCTGAATATTGATGATTCTTGGGTTTATGTGCAATTTTAAGTCTTAAGTCTATGTCTGCATCATGGTGGCTCACAGGGTTAGGATGGTGGCCCGCATTTGAGACCCGGATGCCGCTGTGCAATGGGGCGAGCTTCCGTCATTTGCTCCAGCTCCTGCTGACCCAGCAGTTTGAAAGAGGGTGACTACAAGTAGTTACCATATTTTTCCATGTATAAGATGCTAATTTTTCTTTAAAATATTTACTTGAAAATGGAGGAGTGTCTTATACACAGGAGGCCAAGAGGAGAAGGCGTGGCCCATCCCCTTCTTCCAGCTTTGCTGAATGAGCCTCTACCTTATATGCAGCTCTATCGTTCCACTCTATTGTAGTTTTACATTGCCACTCTAGGTTTCATCTCTATTGTTTCTTGATGCATTTCCTGTTCTTGTATTAGTCACTTGTATTATAATAAGATGGCTTCTGCACAGTGATGGCTTGTAGTGTGCTTAATTACTCTACATGAAACTTGTGGGTGTCCTGTACATGTGGGCATCTTATTGATGAAAAAATACGGTAGATCGGTACCACTTTGGTGGGCAACCTAGTGGAGGAGCCCCCAAACTGGCATCCCGGGGGCAACAGTGATGTCACTGGCTAATCCTCGGAGCTTCCGACATGAGAGTGAATGAGCAAGTCTGTGTTAGGGCGTGGAGTATATAGTCTTCAGATTTCCTGCCTCAAAATGGCAGGACAATATTCTGGTGGTTTGATAGTATAGGTAGTCCTTGACTTACAACCATTCATTTAGTGACAATGTTACGACAGAAAAAAGTGACTTGTGGATCGGTTTTCACACTTACGATCATTGTACCATCCCCATGGTCACGTGACCAAAATTCAGAAGTTTGGCAACTGGTATGTAGTTATGATGGATGCAGAATCCTGGAATCGTGAACATTTTTGTGACCTAACGAGCAAAGTCAATGGAGAAGTCAGGTTCATTTAATAACAACTGCAGTAATTAACAACTGTGGCAAGAAAGGTTGTAAAATGGAACAAAACTCACTTAATGAATATCTTGCTTAGCCACAGAAATGTTGGAAATGTGGTCATATGTCTAGGACAATCTCTATGTTCAAAAGGGGTTCCAGAGATCAGGAAAAAGAAAGACCTATGAGAGCGACATTTAGACTCTGAGTTACTTAGCTGTCTTTCTTTCCCCATAATCCCTTTCCTGCTTAGGTCTTAGCAGCAGGTGTTTCTAATCTCAGGCTTATTTGGGGAGAAAATGGATGGAAAGGGACTGGAAGAATTGGACAGGAAAATTTTAAGCACTACATTCGCTTGGTTTTCTTCTATAAATGGCCTTTTGTACTAGATTTGCAGATATTTGAGTGTCCTACTTGCTTTTGTGTGTAGATTTAGCCAAGTTTTGTCAGTGAATAATTGTTCCAGCCAGTTAAATGTATACTGGATTTCTTTTATTTTTCCATTATTGCTGTTAGCTACTTGTGGTAAGTGGAATACACAGCAAGCTCAGTTCACATTTAAAAAACTCATTGCAAAACTGATAAGGAACATATCTTCTGCTTTTAAGAAAACAGTCCACAATTGCCACCCAAAGGTCATCATTAAATGTGTTTCCTTGTAAACAAATATCCAGGATCAACAATTGAAATCTCTCCTCTACCTCTTTTCAGGAAATAGAACTTACCATTCTTGGTTTACAGCATAATAAAAATGAACAAGCATGTCCTGGAAGATACCCTGACCTTTGACTTCAGTGTGTCATGTAGCAGAGGTTGAACAAACCAAAAGCATTTAATTGTTTTGTTCTGTGTCACAGTGCAGTCACGTCTATAATATGGTCCTAAGTACGTTTACTTAGAATAAAGCACACTTGAGTTCAATGTTATTTATTCTGCAATAAGTAAGTTGAGAATTGCTACTTTAATTATTTTACTTTTCTATTCAGTCTGTCAAAACCATCCCAACTTTTGTCTACCAAAGCTTAGCAGTTGTTACCATGGTGTCTTTATGTCACTGGGGTAACCTTTGGGGAAGAACATTTGAAAAGTGCATTACTTCCCACATAATACATTGAATTACAAAGACAGAAACGATTTCTTGTTTCTATTTCAAATTCATAAAGAAAGAAAAAAATTCACAGTAAGACTTTACTTGGACTGTATCATTTTGGCTTATAGGTAGGGGGTATTGTTTGTGCTCAGCCTAGGAAGGGGAGCCACCTACAAACCCATCCAGCAGGGTCATCTGAGAGACAGCTACTGGTTTTAAATGGGACTAGGTGATCAAAGTGCCACCTCTTTTTAACACACATAACTTGTTTGCATCCACCATTTTGAAGCCACTGTCCATTGCTGCAGATGTTCCATATATTTGCATGTAGATCCCATAATCCCTTTCCCCCCTGGTCTTTGAACTTCCCTTTGATAACTATTGCCAAAATAGCAATAATTACAAAGAGTTTAGAGTAGACCTCATTTTCTTTGTCACTGATTGTAACCTGCTTTGAAGGAAGGAGAACCACTCTAGAATAGAGTATCACTTCAAACTACCTAGGTTGGTCCAGAAAGTACCATAGTTGATGACGTTGAAAACTGCTTGGGAATTAAGCTGCTGGCCAGGATAGATTCACTGCCCCCCCCCATCCCAAGCTCACTAGAGGTCATTGACAAATGCGATCAATGCCACCACAGTGCTAATGCCAGGTTTGAATTCTGACTGAAAAGAATCCAGATAATTCATTTTTTTTCCCTTTGGAACTGGAGATTGGGAACATTGTCAAAAAGTTTTATTAAAAAGGGAGGATTGATCCTGGATTAAAAACAGTCCAGCTCTGTTGAATGGAGTGAAGATATCTTGTACAAAGGCAGCAGCACTCCATCCCTCAATGAAATATTTACCACCACAAGTGGTAGGTAGGAGGCCTTCTTGGAGGCCTTTACTGCCAGGAGTAATAAAGATCTAAAATGCAGGTGGCCAAATCTATAACACTAAGAATTCTGACTGCTTCGTCAGAGTTCGACAACAGGATCAAACTCTCCCCAGATAACTAAAGGCTATACTTTAGTCAACCCTGTAGAAGTTGTGCAGCCAAAGTGCAACTCTGAGTGAATCCAATTGATTTTATCTGACAAATGCCTAGACTGATCATCACAATGAGTCTGCAAGTGTTCCCCTACTCATCCTAAGAGAGCAAGTTACCTTAAACAGGCCTGATGGTCAGCATTCTTCAGACACAATAACAGCACGGAAATAATTTCATTTTGCCATCCTTATTGTCACAGGTTATTCCTTAAGAAAGTCTCTTACCCATGCTAATAAAATAATAAATCAAACTAATAAAATCAAGCTTCAGTAACACTATTAAAGCTATTAAATGGTGTCCCAGAAACAGATTTCAGCCAGCAAATGCCCTTCTGAATAGTTCAGTTACAAGGTCTCCCTGAAGCTTAGGGACAAAGGTAGCATCGAGTGCTTTGTAGGAAGGCTATTTTAAAAGATTGGCACTATCATTGGAGAAACAGCCACTTCTCTATCTCATTCTGCAATATATGGAACCTAAATTTTAAGCAAAGGAAAATTTAAGATTATTTCTCTGAAACCTACATGGTTAAATGTAGAAACTTGACCAGGAGTCAACCAGAGTTGGCTGAAAGATTAATGACCATATAAATGTTTTAATTAAATAAATAAAATTAAGAAATAAAATCTTTAAGCCTAGATAATATTCTGGATGTTGGGTTTGGAAATTTGGAAGGTGTATGTATAATTCAGGATATTTGTTCTGACCCAGCTGGTCAAGGCAAGTCAGATCTCTAGAGAGTTCTTTATTTCTCTCAACAAATGATCCAGAAAATGGCCCTCCAATGACCAGTCAGGCTCCAGCTCCACGCTACCCTGAAGGCAGCCAACCTCAGTCCCTAAACAACAGCCACTTCAGTATAAATAAAGTCCATGGAGTAGGTGCCTGATCATGGGGCAAGGTCCAGTGTTCCAAGTCCAGTCCATAAGGCAGAGTCCAGGCACAAGACAATGGCAAAAAAAAAAAAGCTCCAAGGCAAGAATCAAAGGCCAAATGCAGTCCACAAGAGAAGGGCAAGGTCCAAGACTAAAGGTGAAGAGCAATCTTTGAAGCAAGGCAAGGTAAGGCAAACCGCAACAGGCACCAGTCGAAGCCGGAGGAGTGTAATCCAAAGCAAACAATTGTTCCTGGCAAAGACTAACTTCCCATGACTTCTCCTTAAATTACCCCATTCCAGGTGTTCCTTGTGAGGTGGGGTGGGGTGACCTCCTCCCTTGCAGCCCTTCTTTATGCTTGCCTACCGTCTGCTCCCCTTGCCCTTGGATCAAGTGGAGGAGATATGCTGCCTATCAACACCATTGCTTGTCAGCAGCTGATCCTCCCCTGTATCTGTGCAGGGAGGCAACTCTCTGTCTGGTCTAACACCTCCTCCAATACCTGAGGGCCAGAGGTCATATTCAGCAGGTTCTGACCAGTTCTGGAGAACCAGTAGTGGAAATTTTGAGTAGTTCAGAGAACTGGCAAATACCACCTCTGACTGGCCCCATCTATTCTCTGCCTCCCGAGTCCCCAGCTGATTGACTGGGTCTTCTTTTGTTGCCCTGCACAGGAGAACGGAACTGGAAAGCAGGTTAGTGGGGTGGGGAGGGAATGGAGATTTTGCAGTATCCTTCCCCTGCTATGCCCACTAAGCCACGCCCACCAAACCAATAGTAAGAAATTTTGAATCCCACCACTGGGCCCAGGACAGCACTGTACTAGTGCCATCCCTGTCAGACGGTCCCAGTTTCAACCCCTTCTTCTCCTCCGAACTGGGCTCCATTGGGGCCATGACAATAGTCTTGTTTCTATTCCCCATGTTGATGCCACATGGCTGATTAAGGTTACAGGTCCTTTCCATCTATGAAGCACTAAGACAACAGTTGTCTTCCAGAATGCAAGCCCTTTCATTATGAATAGAAGAATGTAGCATCTGCAAGGTTTATAATGTGAATACAAGAGATACATTTCATCACTGCAGAAGTAGAAAGCACAGAAACAGCAGCAAGTTTTTGGCAACCTTAGCACTAAAATTGCAGCGCATGATTCTTGCCATTTTTGGTCTGTGACCCTCCATCTATCCACTGTTGTTCCTTCATTGCTATACTTTTTTTCTAGATGATGTAGAAGGAAAAAAAAAACCCTTTCCACCCATAATTTAGGAGAGGCAAAGCTCAGGGTATTCCTTTCCCCTTGTCCTCCATTTTCTGCTTGGTCATTATGCAGTCAGCTTCACAAATGGGGATAGTTCTAATTCTTAATGCACATTCTACCAGTAAGTTGTATATAAACCAGAGGCCTCATATTGACTTGGTATCAATATGGGCATTTTGAAATAATTAAAAAAAACAATCAATTTTACTTGGTATGGTATATAGCAGGGGTGTCAAACTCACAGCATCACGTTGAGCTGGTGAGGACTGAAGTCCTGGCGGTGAGCTGAATTAGCCTGCCATACTGCATTCTAACCACTGTACCTCCACGGCTTCATGATTAAATAAAAGAAGAAGAGATAACATTGTGCTTATGTCTTTAACAGCTTTGAATTGGGTGGAGACTCCAAATTATTTGCAGAACTACCTCTCTGCCCATTTGTGCCATCCATTCTGGAGGGTGTTGCTACAAGTCCTGTCCTTATGGCAAGATTATTTGATGGTGTCTTGGAGGTGTTTCTTTTCTGTCTTAATGCCTGCTCATTGGAATGATCTCACAAGGGGAGAAGGCCCTGGCTTTATTAGCTTTCCAAAAATATTTAAAAACTGTTTTTACTCAGTCACTGGGCCAGAATAAAAAATGAACATGTCTTCTGAGAGGGAGAATTTGTGTTTGGTTGATCTATATCATATGCATTTGATATGCTGGCGAGGGATTTTTTTTTTAAAAAAAAGTTGTATATATTTTGTTACTTGTAATAATGGGGCGGTGGGATTGGTTTGATTGGTTGGTTTTTATTTGATGGAGGCTGTCTGAGAGTCATGGTAATATGAGTTGGGTATCGATATAAATGTTGTTAATTAATTAATTAATGTTACACTCTAAGTTTGTTACGATGAGCTTTGACTGGTTGCCATCCGAAGTTGGCTGAAAGATAAGCAACTATAGAAATGTCTTAATTAAAATAAATAAATAAGCTGTTTTGGGCAAGTGTTCACAATTTTTAAAAGAATAAGAATTCTTTCCATCTTGGCATACAGTCACTCTAAAATTAAACCTCATTGATTTGCTTGCAATAAATTGGATAAGTTTAGGACTATAACTTGGCAGATGTAACTCTATGACTAAAATGTCACAACTCCCATTGATTGAATACAGATCTTACTTTATTAGATTTTCATTCTCAGAACTTCAGGAACATTACAATTTACACTGGAGTCTTTAATGAAGTATAACAAACTCAATGGATGACAAAATTGCACACTCTGTTAAAACTGCTGTCCTTAATCCCCAACATTTGCAATATTCTTTTCAATAATCAAATGAATGCACATTCATCCTAGAAATTTTGGATACATTATATATTTCATCCATAAATTTAATCTGTAAAAGCTTTCTATTCTTAATCTAAGCAGAAAGCAGTCCTTTTCAAAAATAACAAACAAACAAACAAATAAATGAAGGAACCAATTCATTTTATGTCTGATTTGATACGTTGATTATCATGATGTTGTAGTAATAACATCTAATTTCTGGGCACATGAAGGATTGCTACCAGCACATTT